CTCGGCCTCCCCCTCCGGGGCAGGCCGCTGCGGGCCGCCTGGACCCACCCCGGCGGCCCTGCTCCCGGCTGTGCCCGCACTTTCCAGGGCTCCGCACCGGTGACGCCGCCCTAAACAGCACGCTGCGCGTCCACACGGCCCGGCCACCGCCAGGGATGCGGCCCTGCTCGGGACATGCAGTGGGCGTGGGCATGGGGGGTTCGGGGCACGGTGAGGACGTGAGGTGTGAGGTGTTCGGAGCACGGCGTGGGTGTGAGTGTGAGTGTGAGGTGTCCAGAGCACAGTGTGGGCACGGGCATGAGGACGGCATTCCCACACGGTACCCACAGAACCAGGTGCAGGAGCCAGGCCTGCACCCCTCCAGCTGGGTCAGACCTTCGATCGGGCCTGGGCCTGCTGCCTGACAGCCCTCGCCTCGGTGAAGCCTGAGCGTGTCCTGCAGTTCCTGTCCACTTCTGCACCGCCCACCGCGCTGCCCACGTGGCCAGGACACGCCGTGCGGCCACAGCGCCGTGCTCACGCGGTCAGTGCCGTGCCGCTCGGTAACTGCTCCGGCTCCGCTTTACCGCACACTTTTCGCCTCTGCCTCCCAGGTATGAGAATCCATTACGCTAGGTTTACACGGAACCTGTGTGGACGCAGTCAGCTTTTCCGACGGTGGCCCGGCGCCGCTCCTGTGAAACCACTGCACACCTGGCCAGAGGCTCCCCATTCTGACCCTAGGCCCGTCATCACGGGCGTGGGAACCACACTCCTCGAGGTTACCCCAACCAGAACCCTTCTCCAGAGGGAGGCCTCCGTCGGAGTGGACAGGATCACACCCCGAAACCAACGGCTGTACTGCAGTACCACGACACGACACGAACAGATAACCTGTGGAGGAGTCCGAACCGGTGAGGCCCCAGGATCTGTCTGAGCCCCCTGACCTTTGAGCTCCGCTTCCGGTCGGATTAACACGTTGGCAAGGCTACTATTGTGCACCCCCCGACCTTGGAACAAAGCTTGGGTCAGTTAGCATGTCAGCAAGGCTGCTTGCTATTTGCTCCAGAGAATTGAGGCAGCCTCACTGGGAAGCGACCCCCCTCTGACTCCCCAATTTACTACTATGAAAGAATTGCATAGCTCTCCTATACATCCTG